GGCCAGCAGCCAGGCGGGGCTTCTTGCCCGAGGTCTCTGGCCCAGCTCAGGGCGACACAGTGAGACAAACGGGAGGGCCGGGCTTGGTTTTTTTTAAACACAGGATTTTTATTAAAATTCTTATTTAAAAAAATGGAAAGCTTTCAGCACCCGGTGCTCTCGGGGAACTGCACGGAACCGCTGAGCTCCGAGTTCCGAGGCTCAGGACCCAGAGGATGGGGCAGGGGCTTCTCGCTCGCCTACACATTTTTATCCTTTTTCATTTCTGAGAAATGTTTGCACTGAACAAAATAAAGAAAAAAGCAGGGCTAACCAAATGTAAGCAAACCAAAACAAACCACAAAGAAAGGAGTGGGGCCCCGAGGGGTACAGGCCAGTCCTGAAGGTCATTTTGGCAACAATCACCACCGATATTTACAACGAAAAGCGGAATCTGCCACCAGTTGTCAGGACGTTTACATGGCCATAAATATTTAGCATTTTCTTATAAAAAACAAAAGGAGAAAAAATCCTCTATTTTTAAAGTGTTCTCCACTTGCTTTAGAAGAAGACAGCTGACAATATTGCTACTCACACAAACATATTTTACAAAATTCACAAAAGCGAGGGTGGGGGGCGTCTTTTTCTCCTTCTCAAGTGAGGACGTTAACTCTGGGACCATTCCGTGCCCCCAGGGAGAGGCAGAGAAGCGAGGCTGCGCAAACATTCTGTAAACGGCTGATGGTTCAGCCCTCCCCAGAGGTTCAGAGGGAGAGGGCTGAGGCAGAGCTGGCTGGGTGGAATCTGCCTCTCCAAGGAGGCGCAGGCCACCTCCTGACGCCTCCCCAGTGGAGCCGAGAGTCAACTCGACTCCGTAATAATTATAATAACACAGTAACCACCGTTAAGGGCCGAGTCCTCCTTGCCTCCGCCGCCGGGGTGGGGCCTGGGCCGGGGGCTGGGAGTCTCGGAGGGGCAGCTCTCACCAAGTCCACTGCTGGGCCTGGACCAGGGGGTGTGCTGTCGGGTACTGGGGAGTGCTGGCCGAGCTGTACTGGGCGTTGTATTGCATGTGCTGCAGAGACTGCGCGCTGTAGGCCGAAAAGGGGATGCCCGCCTGGAAGGTGGCGGCTGCCAGGTCCTGGGCTTTAAGCGCGTGGCACGGTTTGCCGTCCCTGACCAACACGGGCACGGCCACCCGGCGCGGCGAGGGCAGGGGCGTCACCTCCATACCTTTCTCTGCCCGGGCGCGCTTCATCTTGTAGCGGTGGTTCTGGAACCAGATCTTGACCTGCGTGGGCGTGAGG